AACGAAGAGCAACATAAAAATAAAACAAGCGTGCCTCTTTTATCCCCTGGAGAAGCTACTAAGAAAAGCAATGAAAACCAGAAATTTTTTTTAGGATATTGCATGCTGGCATTCACGCGGGTGCGATGCGAGAGATTTTGTAAGTTTTTTTGTGTGCATGTTTTTTATTTTTATTTTTTTTGCTTTTCTTGCATCTGCCGCTGAAGTTTTATCTTCTTTTTTTTTCCCCCGCATTTTTTGTTTTCTTGTGTTATCCACAAACTGGTGGTTTTGGTGGAGGGAAACGTGTGGCTAAAAGCGCAATGCGTCGATGGGGAGGGTGTGGCACCTGTCGTTTGGCGGCAGCGGCTGGAAGATGTTTTTGGGATCCGTACGGTCACCAGCCTGAGTCCATGTTCCTTGATCGCAAGGACTTGGAGCAGATGTACCCCACCCGCAAGCCGAAAACGACTGGTGGTGAGTTTGGCTATGAGCGCGGTCCCTACTGGAATGCCATGCTTGTGCCAAACCCCGCTGTACGTTTGCCGCATGAACGTCGTCGCCTAAATCCCAAGCCAGCCAAGCGTGTTACAGTTTTTGGAGCCAGTGGGTATCTGGGGGCGGAGATTGTGCGTGAATTTTGTGAACATCCCGACATTGAGAAGGTTCGTGCTACAACCCGTTACCCCACACTTATTCCTGCCGGATCTGAACTTGATATGCTTCTCCAAAAATATCCAGAGAAGATTGAACTCCATGAATGTGATGTGACGGACCGCATTCAAGTGAATGTCGCTTCCAACGGTAGTGATACTCTTGTATTTGCTGTGGATTATCACGCAGAGTACGCCAACAATAGTCATCATGATGTATTTTTGACAGGATCCACTAATGTGAGCTGGACAGCACGTAGTGTTCGTGCCGAGCGCGTGATATTTTGTAACGGTCTAGATGCAACATTTGCTTCTGAGTCGAACTATTGTGATTTTCGAGCGCGCGCAGAAGACGCGGTTGGCGCCAACCATCCAGATGCGACAATTATTCGTTTTGGCCCACTTTTTGGGAAAAGATATCGTTATCGTGGGTTGGGTCGCTACGTGTACCCTGCATGCTTCCCTAATTCCTTGGTGCAGCCAACGTGGGTTGTGGACGCGGCACGTGCTGTTGTGCGCTGTTCCATGGCCCATCGAGCTGTACGTTATAAGTTTGACTTGGGTGGTCCTCAAACGCTGAAGCATGTTGAAGCATTTCGTCAGATTGCAGCTCATTTTGACTCTCGCCTTGTTGTTCCCTGTTATCGCGGAATTGGTCGTTTTTTTGGAAAGCTACTCCCATGGGTGGTACCAAACCCCTGGTTTGACGACAACTGGATTGTCACATACGAGCTTGATCAGGTGAACCGCCGTAGTACTCTCTTTGATCGCCTTGCGTCGTGGGAGCGTATCGCATATAAGCCTCATAGTATTTCTGAGGCTTCCGCAATTGAAAGAGGGCAAGTTCCACTTCCTCCTCTTCATGAGTTAGACGTGGCTTACAAGGCCCTTGAAGCAGCGGACAAGGCGGCCTTTGAATTAGAAGAGGAAAATGCGAAGAAGTATGGTATTCATCGCGCCAAGGCCGAGCCGGGCTTCGGTCGTACCGATGGTTTAGAGGCGCTTGCGCAGGAAATTTACCCCGGACAACAGTTCCGTATGCGTCCATTGGAGGGCGCAAAATACCCATCGACTGTGAAGAATCCAGGACCGGTGGCTATTCAATAGGGCGTTTGTATCCCTGTTGTATTCCGTTATGATGTAGGGTAGTTAGGACTAGCGAATTTCAGGGGAACGGTAACAATGGGGCATTTCGTTTTTGGTGTGTTTTATTTTCTATTTAGCCGCCTTGTGGCCGCTTCAAAGAATACTAGAATAAATTTATGTATTTTATTTGGTCTCGCTTTGGAGAAATCTGGGAAATTTTTTATTCCCTGTGCCAAGTTTTTTTAAACTCTGCATGCGTGTGTGTATGCAGGGCTTATGCGCGTCGTGTCAGTAGCAGCAGGTCTATCAGGCCATTACTACTAAAACTTATAATAGCAATAGTAGTGGCAGTATTAGTAGTAGTGACTTTTGAAATAGAAGTGGCAATGGAAGCAAAAGGAAAAAAAGAAAAAAAAAGGAATATTGCTTTCTTCTTGCTATGTCAGGACCGATACTTATTTATATTGCCCTGTTCTTTTTTTTTTTTTTTTTTTTTTTTTTTTGGAGGGGAGATCTGTAAGAAGCGGGACATCGTTTCTCTTCAGTAAAACGTTTACTTTTTTTCTCGTGTGTGTACATGTGTTGTTGTTGTTGATTGCAGCGTTCCCTCATTATTTTTTGCAATGGAGGCGTGCCTATCATTGATAATGATATGTTTGTGGTTGTCTTTTCCATTACTTCCTTTTACCGAAAATTACACTTCTTCCTTTTCTCTGTTTTTGTTGTTGTTGTTTCAACTTTTTTGCCCTTTCTGTTTCTTTATGTGCAGTTTTTTTTAGGTACATATCTGACGGTTGATCATTAGGGAGTGCCTTTTGCGCCACTCACGGATCGTCTGTGGAAGCCGTGTGTGTGTGTGTGTGTGGGATAAGGCGAGGGGAATAGGAATTGTAAAATAATGCTCTCGGCTAGTAGGAGGGGACCGGCATTCAAGCCGCAGCTGCGTGTGTGTTATTTATGCGGCCAGCAGTTTGGTTCGGCCTCCATTGGCATTCATATTCCGCAGTGCTACGCGAAGAAGGTGGCGCAGTGGGAAATAGCCGATCCGGTGACACGTGGCAAACGACCGAAACATCCCGACACCGTGAACTGGCGTGGAGAGGGGGTGAGCATGGATAAACTGAATGACGAACAGTTTCACGAGTTCACCGCTAATCTCGTGCCTTGTCGCAAATGTGGGCGGAAGTTCCTTCCAGATCGTCTCGTTGTCCACTTGCGTAGCTGTAAAGGTGACAGTAAGCGCGGGTCGACATTGAAAACCAGTGGGAAGGATGATGGTAGTAGTTTCAACGGAACTTTGGGTTCTGGTCCATCGTCCACACGAAGAAGCACGCAGTCGGCACTCGGCTCACGCTCTCCGAGGAAAAGCGCCGGCCATTCTCCCTCACTGATGTCTGGGGGTAGGCCACAGTTGCCTATTTGCTACCTGTGTGGCCAGCAATTCGGAAGCAGCTCTATAGCAATTCATATACCTCAATGTTACGGAAAAAAATTGGCCCAATGGGAGGCAGCAGACGTACAGACACGAGGCAAGCCGCCCAAGCATCCGGACACCGTTAACTGGAAAGGTGAGGGGACTCATATGGATGAACATAATGACGCCCAATTTGCTGAGTTCGTAAGCAATTTGGAACCCTGTCCTAATTGCGGAAGAAAATTTCTTGCTGACCGTCTTGTCGTTCATCTCCGTTCATGCAAGCCCGGCTCGAGAGCAAAACCACCACCACGTTCATGTTCGCCATCAACAAAGATGCCAGTATCGGCACGCAAATTAGATTTGGGCGCTTCCAGGGTTGGTCAAAATACCGGAGTTGTAGGAAGTCGCGTTGCAAACGGCGGGAACGAGGACCAGGGTGCAGCAGGGGGTCCGGTGTCGGAAGAGGATATTTCCACAAAAGACGCGGGAAAAATCAATCCGAAGTTGAACCGACTAAAAAAAGGCGGCAAAGTGGATCCAGAGGGACGTGCATGCCCTCGTTGTGGCGTTGTAGAATATGATATGTCCGCAAAGTTTTGTCGCGATTGTGGAGCTAGTCTTGTTGCCAAGAACCTTTTTGATCCTTGTGAGCACTGTGGGGAACAAATTCCGGAGGGTTCTAGATTCTGTGGCACATGTGGCGCACCAATCAATGGTGCATCAGCGATTGAGCGAAAAGCGGGGGCCGAGAATGTAAACGCCTCGACCATTCGGGTTGTAGCGTGCCCAGCCTGCAAGGCGGTTTGTGATGCTGATGGTAACTTCTGTGACAATTGTGGTGCGGCTCTTGGTGACGAAGAGCCTGCAACTGCAGCTCCATCAACAACGGAAGTTATGTTCTGCAAAAAATGCGGTGAATCTTTTGAGGATCAGACGGCGAGATTCTGTGAGGAATGTGGTGAAATTTTGGAGAAGATCACGGTGAGTTCCAAGGATCAAGGACCGCGTGGACAGGTATCCACATTACCGCCTGAAGTCGTCACGTCGCATGCCCCTCTCAAGGAAACTCGTGCACTTCCAGCTCTCACTGCCGTAGGAGGAACGACGGTGGCGGCGGGAATTCCGTCACCACCAAAGTTACGGGAGGCTAGGAATGAAAGGAAAGTAACCATCACTAATGATGCTCGAGAAGTCCGAAATATGCCAGAAGATATGAAGGGACCTGGGGCACCAACACTTCCAGTGCTATCTAAAAGTAGCACGGCACGTAATATTCCGGAAATTCCTGAAGAAGAAGAAGGAAATGACATAGGAGAAAAAGGAGAATGCAGTAACTGTGGTCGGACGTTTGCTCTGAATGTATTGTCCCGACATGAGCGTGTGTGTACCACTCAAAAGAAGCGGAGGGTATTCAACATGCGAGCAATGCGTCTCTCGGGCACAGGTGCGGATCAAGTAGCGAAGTCGGGTAGTAGTGGTGCTTCAGCAGCAGCTGTGGCGCCAGCTCCAAAACGGGACTGGCGAGCGGAAAGTGAGGCGTTTAGACGCTCAATGCGAGACGCACGGCAGGTGGATAAAGTCCTCAAGTCTGGGGGCAACGTAAAAGATCTTCCTCCCCCAACATATAGTGAGAACAGTCACTATACACCCTGTCCACACTGTGGGAGGAAGTTTGCTCCGGACGTGGCGGAGCGGCACATTCCCCGATGTGCCACAACCATAAATAAGCCCAAACCACCCCCAAGGAGGCGATAAGCCTAACAGAAGAATATATGTTTCTGATTGCATACATGGGCCATTGAAAAGGAGGAGGCAAAGTTATTATATGTAATATTTTGTTTTTATTCTCATTTTCTTTTTTTTTTCGTTTGTTTTCTTGTGTTGTATGCAATTTTTAAATTGTTTTGCTTTTCTGCATTTTTATTGCTTTTTGTTCGTTTCAAGCAGTATATATATATATATACTTTGCCCACCCCAGTCTTCTAGCACGCATTAACCCCTTGTTTGTTTGTTTGTTCGTTTGTTTGCGATGTAAATGTTGCAATGAAAGTGATTTATAAGAGGCGCCTTTTGACGGACAAATGTTGCGAGTTAGTTATCTACACTTTTGACGCGGTGTATAAAAGAAGGGAAAAAGAGACAAAAGGGTTTGTTGTTTTTTTTTTTTTTTTTTTTCAAACCCTCGAAAGGATTTTGGAAGAAAAAAGTATCTTCTATACACATTTATATACATATATACTTCTCTTCCGCTTTTTTTTTTTCTTTTTTTTTTTTCCTTTTTTTTTCTTTTCTTTTTTGTTGTTTAAAATGTCATTTGGTGGTGGTGGGTCTGAAGTATTTTTTTTTTCTTTTTGTTTTGTTTCTCTCTTTCTTTCTTTCTTTTTTTTTTTTTTATATTTCTTTTGTGTGATTTTAGATTTTTGTGTGTGGAGTTGACGAGTTTTAGATCGAAATGTTTCGACGATGCGAGCGACGGTGCATGAACCGCGGGCATTTGATGCCGACACCGTCAAAGTACTCGGATAGGCCTGGCATGTGGGGCCCAGGGGCGGGTCCGCCGAAAGACACTCTCGCTCGTCGGTCAATGTTTTTTCGCATGCTGGTGATGAATAAAATAGGACGCTTGACGAAGCCATTTCGTACCAATCGTGTTCGATGGATTTGGCGCAAGACGCAGCTGCAATTATGGAAAACTTTTGTGATGTCAATGGTGTTTATGTGTTTGTTACTCTTTGGGAACATATGGCTGTCTTTTGTGTACCATGCCTACACGGTGGGCCCAACAACACCTGTTCTTGAAAGAAAAGTCCGTGAGCACCGAGTTTCAAAACAGATTCTGCAAATGGTGAGAGAGAGAGAAAAGGAAATGGTGAAGGAGGAGGAGTTGGATAGCGCCAAAAAGCTGATAGAGGCTCAAAAGGCTTCAAAGTGAAGTGTCAAGAAGGAAGTGAAGAGGAGGGACGGTGTGGGGTCGGAGGGAAGGAGAGAGAGAGAGGGGGAGAAATATTGGGGAGGGTGGGAAGAAATATGAAGGGGAATTGGAGGGAGACGATGTCATCCAGTCCGGATGCCTGTTGCGCTTCTATTATGATATCCGGATGGAATTACACGGAAATATCGGTGTTGTATTAAAAAAGAAAGAGGAGAAGAGAAGAGAGTTTACTCTGCCTGACTGGTGCCCCATTTTATTCTCAACTTTTCCCACTCTTTCTTTATCTGTTTTTTTTTGTTTTTGTTTTTGTTGTTGTTTTCTCTTTGCCACTTATCTTGCCGCTGTTCTTTATTCTTTATGCAACATGATTACAGACACATCATATTCACGCTACGCCCAATACACATATCCGTTTGGTCGAAGATGGATCCGGCCTACGCAATGATGGATGCGCAGAGTTTGGGTCTGAGGCTCGATGAGGTGCTTCACAAATTTGCTACGCGCGAGGAAGACAATAGTGACGACGCCAGACTTCTTGCAGATATCGCAGGTCTCACGGAAGTTATAGATAAAATGATATCGCCGTCTTTGTCAGCAGCATCAGAAGCAGCGGAAAATGAGGCAATGGTCAGTCTCCCAGTAAAAACACTTGAAGAGTTGCGTTTTCTTGGATGTGCATGTTGGAACATGACGGTGCGACACGTTTCCAGGGAAGATTCCCGGGAAGAGCAGACATTAAAAGCCTCGTTGCGTGAGTTTGCCACGAAGGCGTTTCTTCTCGGCAACTATGCCTACGCATCAAGCGATGTTTCTCACAGCTACTTCACACAGCACCCACGTGAGGCGGAACAATGTGTGCTAATGTGCCTCAAGACTTCGCGAGACTTGTCGCTTTGCGGTGTGGCAGGTAGTGCAAAAAGACTTTTGTCCTTGGGCGAAAGCGTTGCATCTTACATACAAACCGGCGTTCAAAATAGTCTTGCTTACATAAAACATCGTAACATGCGTTGGGAGTTTGCGTACACAGCCATGGATATTAATTGGAATGTGACCCATTACAAGGAATCCTGCGAGGCGGCAAAGAAACTT